AACAAATGGATATCATATGTTTATATGCAATAGAGAGGGGACAGGGCAATTAATTTCATTCGCTTTTTTTTTTTTTAGTTATTGAATTCAATTCCTCGCTAGATCGTTGCAAGATGGACTACATGTTTTGCGGATATATGTCCGCAATGGCAGCAGTAAGGCTTTGCTTGCCACAGTCAAAAGACGGCTATGCCATTCAAAAATGGGTGGTAACAGGTATTACTGGGTTGCGTGTCAGCGCTGCTTTCCAACCACTTCGAAATCCGCTACTGCGAGAGTACTGTAACCTCGAAAATTTGGGCCTTTGCCAGTCGAACTCAAGGCCAGTGATGGTAAGAGCTTAGCAAAGAATGATCGATATTTGAAATTGTCCACTTCGTTAGCGTTTAGCCATTTGGACATTTCTTTGCCATTCCATTCTATCCAGCGTTCAGCGTTGTCTAACGATACTGATTGTTTCCTACACGTAACGCATATATATATATATATGTTGCATTTATATGGTTGGCTAGAAAGCCATTACAGGTTGCTTGGGGGATTTTGACATGGCATTTGAATCACTAACGTGCGCCGGCCAACGATGCCTTGCTTTTAAATGTATTCAATTAGACTGAATGGAATCGCATCAGCTGCACCCATTACCATACATTAGAACGATGATCCGTATTACAAAATAAATGCTATTGTACAATTCGCCTTGTAGGCCATACACATCGTTAGATCATTAGTGAAGAAGCTATTTCAGCCGTAATGCTGGCCGTCCTTTTGTCTTTTCCTGGAAATGGTTAGAAAAATGCTCCTAGAATGAACCGTCTAACATACTATATAAATGTCTGCATAATAACTCTGCCTTACGAAGGCCTACATCTTTAGATTATATCTAGCTCACCGGTGGATCTATACGGTCGTTTTACAACGGTTACCTTGAAACATTTACATTACAATTTTTCCTCCTAAAAATGCTAAAAGCTCATTGGCGTAAACGAGCTTCACCGCTTCCATTATATATTTGTCTATGTATCGCGGACGATATTGTTAAGATCGTAATCATCAAGTCTTTCCACTTTTTTTCGAAGCGCACTTTTTCCTAATCGTTGTTTCTGTATGTTGTTTTTTTTTATTTCATAAGCCAAGATTAAAACGCGCTTCTCTATCGTTAGCCCTATCTTCGTCCGCCAGCTAACTGCTTCCACCCCCTGGCTAGCGAGCAAAGACAACATTAACGACGACGACGACGACAACTCTAACAAGCTATTTCGTCTTCCTTCATCGCTGCTGCTGCTGCTGCTGCACTTGATGATGGTGGTGGTGGTGGTGGTGGTGGTGGTGGTGGTGATGTTGTTCAGAACGAATGCAACGAGACCCCACTACTCGAATCGAAGGAGCGAAATAGCGAGATCTTAGAGGCCGGGTAGCTCACAGCGTCAACGAACTACAGTCGATAGCGTTCAACCCGTAGCCACGCTCACAGCGCGGCGACTATTGGCGACCTACCCAGCGCCAAAAAGTGTAAACGTCGCTCGGGACGGGAGCTGGCCAAGCAGCTGAACTGAACTGGGGACCGACCCAGCGGCCGAGCGGGCGACCAGCAGAAGCAACAGGCTGCTTATGCTGCCGCTAGCAGCATTGGTGTTAAATGACTGCGAACGGACTCTTCCATTCGGCAAGGCGAGGAGCTCACCAGTCCAGTAGATCGCCACTAGCACTGGCGGCTCAACCCCAGAAGGTGCCACCAAATCAGAAATGGGAGACGACGCAGTCTTACACAGAGACAAACAAACAAGCCGGCGACAGACAGCGTCGGGAAAGCGAAGACACGCCAATGGGGAAGTAGTTACGATCCAAGAACGACAACCAAAAAACGAATCGGAGGTAAAAAAGTTCTAAGAGTTTAGGCTGGAGGAACGCGATTGGCCTACGATTGTTCTTTGAGAGTTGTGACGATCCAGTAACAACCAGCAAAGTGCGCTAGAAGCGATATGATAGACATTGAATAGTATTATTAATGTGACTATCAATGGTTTAGCTAGACTGACCCGCCCTTATTGACCCGATTATAGCTGCTGTTATTCACTTTTTTGAGATTCAATCTCATAACAGGTACGTCCTTTCATGGTAAAAAATCGGTATTTCCAGTCATCACGGGTCGTTGTTTATCGGCAGGCCATAGTATATCAATTCGTAACAAACTCCAAGCTGAATTGGATAAGCTAACTATTTGCATAGTCGAAGCAACGAGCATAGAGGCATTGAGTTTTTCGCGCTAGCCATTTTTTTTCTAGGCCAATCACTATTTTGACAGCGAAGCATGGAAATACGCTGTCTATTCGCTATATAACAGTCATAGCACAAACGCTTAAAAATAGCCGGCTGATTACGATGCTGCACTAAATTAACTTTACACTGCACGACAGAACCCGACGCGTGTCCTTAACGCAGCGCCTATGGCCAGGTCGAACCCTGAATAAATACAATAGCTACCTATTGTGGTCATCAGTCGTTTCGCGCGCTACAGATACCGATACTACGATATAGCGATTGCTTTTCAATTGCAGCGCAATACGTCTACGGGGTACAGCCAGCCGAAATAAGGTTGACACCGATCCGCCGGGACGTTCGGACCGCTGCACGCAATGAGGATGCATTGATGAGGGTGGCACTAGTAGTTATATTAGTCGCTCACGAATAATTTAATGAAGAATAGCATTAACGTAATTTACAACAAACGTGTCGTACGTATTTACGTGCCGAGCAGCAAAACCGCACGCGAATCGGTCGTAAGAGCCGTGTACAGCCCTGCAGGTAATGATATATTATACATAGAAGTGATTATTATGGCAAGAAATAAAAGCAACAAATGACAGCACTGTAGTGTTGGTATCGTACTCCGCCCACCCACTAGAAGGGTAGAAATAAGCAGTGTCAATTCAACGCAACGTTTTCTAAAAGCAGAAAGAAAACGTTTTAGAGATAAATCGCTTTGACTATTACTCTTATGTCTGCAATCATCGCCATAAATAATATCATCAGCAGGACAGTATCGCCATCGTCTATGAAAAGTAGTTATATGAATAGTTCATCTTCTTCGATCGTTTTGTCGGCCACGGCCTCATGGAGGCAACACCCATTCAAGAGAATCCTTGCCAGGCGTTAATTCCGCCCGTCGCCCTTCCTAAACCTGTCATCTGTTTCAGACTCTCACACAAGGGTCCCAGGCAGAGTAAACAACCGAACGGAATTTTGCAAAAAAAAACAGACCCCTCCTTCGTCACCCTACCCCAACTTAACGTTCGCAACTCTCAAACGCTTCACCAAGACTAGCGCGGCTACAGCCTAAGCAGTTGCAATTCAATTCCGCACGTTTAGTATCGACATTGCCACAAACAGCATTTCCAGTGACTGACTGCTGCCATCCAACATCGCCGACAGCTGTCCTTCAAATGCGCTTGTCTATTTTATTCGAAACGTAACCAAATCGTTGCGTACGTCAAATAGACCAGGCAACGAAACAAGAGCCTCCTGTCGCTTTCTATCCGTTATTGTGGCCAGTACTATTACTGCTGCATCACTAAATCCAAGAAGCTCATGCATACAGAGCCCTTTGACGAACCTAAACGGGCGACCGCCATGTTCGTAACAATGTATGGCTTTAATAGTTATTAGAAGTCCTTCTTAAAGGAATTATGCTAATCACAAACAACTTTGCGTTTCGATTAGCCACTGCGACTGTTGTTGTGCTGGCCAGTAAAACTAACAAAGTTATCTGCTATCTAACTTAACGTTTATTTTCATTGCATACCGTAACACCCGCAGAGTTACTAACTTGACATCACTACATTTCTGTTCAATCCCAATCCACTAGTCTGAGCGGAGTCACCAACCTGATGCTGAATGAATGTCGTTGGCCTCCTGGACTCTCGTGTGGCCTTTGCAGTGCCTGCAGCGAAGCAAGTAGTAGTTCGTTTGCGATCACGAACGTAACTATATCTTTCTATCTTTCGATAGAGATGCAATTTAGAAGTATATTCACAAGCTTCAATCGGCAGATCCTCGTCTTCCTTATGCTTGACAAGTTGTCCTAAGTGCGATGTGTACACACTAGCTGTAAATTTATATAGTTATCCTCTTGGAATACAACAATTATACATAAAGGTTCAATATAGGCTCTGTGTCGATAAGTTGCATCCACGAGCACGTTCTCACACACTTTTTCTTCCGTTTCGGTGTCCTTTAACGACGCTTACCGGGTTAACGTGACACTGACAGTTCTCTTTCTATCTCTCGGTGCATCGATTTGCTTAAGCCATTACGGTCTGGAGCTGCGCGTGTGCAAATTATATGAATGATTGCATATCGACAGTCGCACACTATACGATGACGATGTGGTTTCAAATTTGCCGTTGTTACAAAACTCTCTTTAATTTTCCTTCGTCAATAACCGTGAAGCTGTGAGAGGACAAACTTTGTTCGTTCGACACTGCTACAAATCTTTCACCAGCCATCAAAAAGCATCACCAACGAACTGCTACAACTGAAGATCGGGCTTCGCCGCCACTATCGGCTGCCCTCTCCTACGCGTTAGCCTCCTCGCCATAAGAGCTCCGCTATTACCAGCCGTACGGCTGCACTATGTACGATAATTCCATAACTATACGCGCTCAGGACCTCGACGACGACAACGACGATGAAGAAGAAGGAGATCTGCACGACAAGCACACTGGCCCACTATGATAACAACAAAGCGATGCATCAACTGGGTGAGCCGGCGAGAGCGGCGAACCATGAACAGAGCGGGTCCCTTCTTCTTCCAGCTGCCAACAACAAACGGAGCGACGAAGACGGGTTTCTGCGCGCCAAAAAATTAAATTTGCCTGACGCCCTCTCCCGTTATCCCTTTCCATCGAATCTTTCTCATCATAACGGCCTTCTCAACAAGTCAACACAAGGAAGGATGAATGCATCGGTTGTTTATACGCAATGCTATTGCCTCGCTTACAATCGAAAAGCTTCCTAAGCTTCAGTTAAATTAAAAAAAAGCTGTGAAATGATCTACCAGTAAATAAAATTACCAGTTAAAATGCATGTTAATGCATCGGAGCATTTCCACATCCGGATATAGACTGACAGTCACGGTTGTCCAGCTGAGCTCCAGCCCACCCGTAGTTACCTGCACCGCTCCCGGTTATCCTTACGCTGCCGTAACTTAAAGGCCTACCACAAAAAAGCATGCAGGCAGTGTTTTGGCTCTGCCCGGCCGGAGAGAAGGGCTTCGTGTGTCCCTCAATCGACGGCGCAGACGAATCTCTAAGCAAGTTTCTATTCTTCTCTGTGTTGTTGTAATGTGGTACTCATCCCTCGTAGCTTCAGTATCTTTGAAAAAATAATAATATAATAATAATAATTATAGCTTTAGTGCTGAGTATAGTGTTGATTAGATCAGTGGTGCTCTGCTTTAGTCAGCGAAGACGTTAGTGCGAGTGGAACGTCGACGACGGTCAAACAAGAGCGACTGTTTGTGTTGGCATTTGCTTCCACCGTTGACAGAAACAGAAATTAATTTTAAAAGAAACTGCGCACGAATTGTTACGGCTTGCGCTACGTTGCTTAGCTCTTTCTGGCATTCATAAAGAGGATCATCACAGTGAGTTTGTGGCGTTGCTCATCACAAGGCAGTGATCACCTTGGGATTCAGTCGCAGCCGACATGGTTGCCATACCGAAAATAGTGCTCAAATCTCAGACTCGAATGACCCTGAATGAAAGGTACGAGGATGAGCATAACGACATTTGATAGATGAGAAATAAAAATTGTGAGTGAATGCAGTCAGCCGGTGTCAGCGCTCAAGTTAGTGTCGCCGCCCGCTGCATCGAACCAGTACTGGCGTCGTCTGCCGTTGTCGACGAGTGCACTTTCTATAGCGAATCATTTATTATGTTCATTGTATCAGTTTACTATATTTCTTACGCTTGTGGTGCATTGTAGCTCTATTACGTTCTTATAGTTCGTCAACAAAGCTGTCGTTAATTACTGACGCTAACACGATGTTCAGATTGTATACGATACTTTATCGGGTAGTCCTTCGTAGTGGATTACTCTTTTTGTTCATCTGCTATAGGAAGCGCAGTGTATAATATTACATGGTCGTATCGAAGTCTCTAACCTAGCCAAGCGCTATTCTGTATGCGTACTTTTTTTTTATATATATTACAAAATTTAACTAAGTTTGGCGAATGAGTACGTCTCTCGTTTGGATAGAACAAATCGTCTTTTCCAAGAGATAAGTTCAGTAATATGTGGTTATCATTTATTTTTTATCGATTTTCTTCATTTTGCTATGGATTTATTACATAGCGTCCTAGCAACGATCAAGTTCGGGCTGTTGACCCATTGCAATGTAGCTGGGTCGTTCTTATTGTATTAAATTAAATAGAGCATACTGTTTTATCTTTGAAATGTATCAAATAAAACACATGGTGAGCTATAAAAAATTGCATTGTTAATCGGCCATTCCAGTTATTTTGAAAGCGCATGTGATCTATTCAGTTGAAATAGAGATAATATATGATATAAGAGAGATAACAAATGGTCTAACCGCATTGTAATAGAAACAAGTATACTTAGTTGTAAAAGGCAAAAAAAACTAATAATCTAGTCATAAATGCAGGATTGTCTTAAACCTAGCTTCGTTTATAGCAAGCGTGTTTTTGCCACCTTGCACTTATTAAGGGACGATGTACATTTCTGTCACCATTGTAAACACATACTTTAACACGGAATAAACAAAAAAAAAAAACGTGTACGATGAGGTCGTAACAAAAGATGAATGCATTTAACTTTTTGTTCACACTTTCAATACTCTACCCCAGCCTTGTTAAGGAGCCACAAGAAATCCTAATTGACGAACTTATTTTCTTGAAAAAATCCTTTCCCTTTTATATCATTATCTATTTTTGTATAATTTGTCGTTTTTGATTCAGGTTCACCCAGTACAGTGAGCAGCAGCATGCGCGTGTTCAAATGTTGAGGAATGATCTTCATACACGAATTACAGAGGACGCCATTCGCAGAAACGGTAAGTTTATAATATTTACACCTGTGCATTTACTAGCGTTCAGTACGTTGCACAAAAAAGTCATCACTATACACTCACAATAAGCTTACATAGGGTATGATTTATTTCATTTTATATTGTGGCGTGTTACGTTTGTAGGCTGTAGAATTCGTGTTGAGTTTAAATTATCTTGGACTTTACTGGGAAATTAGTTCAGATTTTAGTTTATCATTAGAGTCATAGTTGTAGGTGCGATACGTACGCATTGTTTCATTAAGTTTTCCTTCAAAATCAATTATTACACCCTATATATGTTTGGTCTACGGAATCAGTTTTATATAAAAATGTCAATCTGTTCCATTTTTTACTTCCACTGTAAACATTAGGAGGTGCGGACACTGCAGAATTATCTCGAAAATTGGACAACCTACAAAGAGTCATTGAAAGTCAAATTAGGCGAAAATCACCATCTCCGCAACCACCTAGAAGAAGCAATAGGTACTCTCCAGAACCTCACAGAATGGCTCCTACTTATGGGTAAGCTGCTATGTATAACAGTAGATATAATCGTACACTATAGCATTCTATAGTATAATGTAAATATCAAAGCTATGTAGAAACAAACGAATCTAATTAAATATTAGACTGATTTTCGAGCCGACAACAATTGCAACGTCTCTCCTATTTATATTGGATATTTGGACCCTAAATAGATTTTAATCTACACCTTTAATGTAGGATGAACATGTTATCTTTAAGATATAAAGATTGAACGTAGGTGACGTCTAGCTACTAGGCTTTACTCTTGTGTAAAAGCCATTGCTTCGGAAAAATGACAGAAATATTCTTTGGCATACTATTGTGCAGACACAGCTTTTTTAAGTACGTCTCTTTTGAGTGTTCCGCGCTTGTATAAGCGGCCTGACGGTTTTCTGCTTGAATCAATTGATGTTATATCAAAGCACGATATTTATAAAATGCAACACGATTACAATTACAATTTCAGGCGATGTAGCGAAGGATACGGAGAGAGTATGATTGTGCCCGACTATCGTGCGTTACTGTATCATGGAGGATCGGGCGGTTCTGGGGGCGGAAGTAATGGTGGAAGAAGTGGAAGCGGAAGTTCGTGGCGAGAGTACAGTGGAGGAGCACAGGGTGGCCGTAAAAGTCGATATGATCTCACATATGGTGACGTCATTCAAGGGTTAGTTCTTGTCAAATTAGGCTTTATGCATGCACCCGGAAGAGTTTACATCGATGTAAATATTTAAACTATTCTATTGAATGAATTGACAGTTTTTGGCCGATCATATGACTCAACAAAGTTCTATATTTTTGATATCGAAATACAGTTAGTTGCATGGATCCGCTATATTTAAAACAAATCTAACATAATTTTTCATAAGGTTTAAATATAGTAATTTTTGTTTAGTATGTTAGGCTTAACTGTGATATTTTGGCTCTGACAGCGGTCATCGAGACTATGATGCGCCTTCATCATCTTCGTTATATGCCGATACACTGGATCGAGTACCCGTAACACGTCGACTAGATAGTCATACCAACCCGAAGCGTGAATATCGAGATTACTGGCCAAGTACGAGACCACGCGGAGACTATAGAGGTTACAGTGGAAGGCATGGCGGTTATGGAGGAAGGTCTCGTGCAGGTACTAGCCCTCGAACATATGCTGATCAGAGAGGCAGGAGCGGAGCTCGAGATAATAGCAAACGGAAATACGATAATCCTTTAATGAGAGACTCATCTGGTTCAGAAAATGACAATAATGATGATGATGATGAGTGGGTTGACCAAGATGTGTTTAAAAAGCGGCAAAGCGGTGGTATCAAGAGTCGCCTCGGAGTCCGAAGCAGACCACCATTTAAGAACAGCGGAGGCGGTTACAATTTCGCTGGATTTGGAAATTTATTCGTGAAACGAGCCAGGGGAGGTGGTCGCGGTGGACGGGGATTTAACAGGGGAGGAGGAGGAGGCGCAGGACCAGGAGGTGAGTTTTTTTCTTTCATAAGCTCTTTTTTCCCTTAAAAAAAAATAAACATAGATAACAAAAATTATTTTTCCTACTCCACTTGGGCTTTTTAAATTCTAATAATAGCTCTTTTTGTGCCCGCATAATCTATTAGCTCCTGTAACGTAAACTGATATAGCACTCTAAGGAAAGCCATATCGAAGTTAGTAATACACAAATACTCCATAATTTGTATGAAATTAAATGGAACGAAAATGGTGAATAAGTTAGGAAAGCAACACAGTTTTGTGAAGGAAACATTTTTCTGCTAGTTTGATGTCTTTTACGTGATATTAGTAACGACATTATTTTAGGTACTAATCGTCCACAACGGTCGCGATCCTTTACGCGTCCAATGACACGCAACAGTGGAGGTGGCGCGGTGGCACGTTCGAGGTCGCAAGGTCGACCTGCGATTACTAAGGAGGATCTCGACAAAGAATTGGATGAATATCATCGTAAAAAGGGTCTTACTGATGAGGCTACCACGATGCAGGTTGACTCCTGAATAGAAAAGGCAAAACAAATTTGTCGGCAAAGCGCAATGTCAATCTCGACTCTGTTGTCGCGATGTATTTAAACAATATACACCTTTTATCAGAATATAATGAATATTTCCATATAATAAATCTCTACAGATATATTCAGGTATAACCTACGTCACCAAGCCGTTTAGATCTGGAGAAACTCCGCTTTGAGGCATTCTGCTCTTCTTTAGCGAAAAATATTCTTCTGAAAAGAAACGTTTATAAAAATTAGGCTCAAACTAGCTTGAACGTGTTTTATTAGATCTCGAATCGCTTTGTAAGAGTTCAGTATATATTCATATCTGCTAGCTGAACATAGCGGTAGGCGGCACTGTAATTTAAGAATATAGAATAAGCAATGACTAAATAGTGTTTGTGAGTGGATGTGAAAGGGTGCGGTCGATAATTTATTGTATTAAAAAATTTATTGAGTGAATGTTAGCTGGAGAAAAAGCCTCGTTCGTTCATTGAATCGCGACTTCGTAGAATTCAGAATCCAGTTTGTCAAACAACTTATAAAAGAACTTAACCGAACGCTACGCATAGTACATGAAAGGGGTGAACATCTGGCACCTGCAACCCTATGCTGACCTTTTTACGAAAAATACGTTTGTACCTTGATAACAAATGATGATGACTAGTAAAAAAAAATAAGCTATATCTTTATAGAGCACAACGACGGCAACCCTTTCGTGGTAGGATACGTAGGTTTTTCCCTTCGTGGAATTAAATGTCAGAAACTATTTTGCTTGATTAAACTTAGCCGTGTAACTCGGTTGTTGAAGAAGTTTTCACTGATGAGTGACTCATGCGTTCAGACTGTTATCGAAAAATCCCCGGTCATATAAAAAAAATATTAACGGACCTGCAGTATCAGGTTGATTATAGGTAATCCGTAACAACATATATTATAATTTACCTTGTAACTGATATGGATCATTTAAATGACTACTATTGTAAGTGGGTTTTGCTTGATTAAGCGATACAGCATTAGTAGTTGTGTATTCACAATAGTGAATTCACTTTGTATATGAAAGACAAGAGACCGGCCAATGATTGTCATGAAAGAAATGCTGGGTTAAGTGTATACTGAAATAAATGTGTATATACAGATTTCACTAGCTGTGGCTTTGTGTTAATATTAGGCTCAATGTTACGTAAAGATGTTCAGTGTTAATCGAAAACTATTCCCGCAAAATGCTAGTCCTATTGCTTGCTTGCTTGATCATGCGAACTATTACTGACTCATCGTTACGAAGATTTCCAAGTTGCTGGAGAAAATTAAGTTTTGATTGTTAAACGACTTTTCTCCGAAAAGGCCCGTTATCTATTGTATAGATTGTTCTAATGGAGAAAATATCTTTTTACCTAGGACGAACAAGGTTCTATTTACGTGCTCTCACCTTCCTATAACCTGACCTGGGCTAATTGGCTCTAAAGCTTGCGGGAACTGCCCAAACGAGCATTGCACATATATGAAAGGCATAATAGCATAGCAAACTATGTTTTTGTCAAGGCCTGGCGATTTGATTATTATCGTCCATGGGGCGCCAATATAGCCAATTGTATTTCTTAACGCGACCATTCAAGTGAAACTCTGACTCTGTAAAATGATCGTTCATTATATGAATTTTTGTCGTACAACTTTCCGCCGAACGCAGTTAGATCAACTATTCTACTAACTTCTATATTGTAGAAGGAAATTACGAGTCCTTAGCTATTCGATTGGCACCAAGACAGAGGTTCTTTTTCATATATTTTCAAAGCGTTTTGCCTAGAACAAATTCACCGGGCATATTGGAGCATTTTGTATACACACCTTATGCTATAGTTTGTAGGTGACCTATTCTTATTTTTTTTAAAAGCACATAGAAAGCATGTAGAAAATCCATGAACAGTGCTGTACAAAATATTCTAACATGTGGCACAAACGCCATTCTGAGTTGAAACACGACTCAGCTTTCAATGCGGAACTGTTGTCTTTCTTATCTCTTTATGTTTTTCCGAGAACACAGACAACAGCTCAGTGGAAAATTTTTTGTTAAGCTTGTGTTTTTTAGAATAAGTAGCTTTATCAATTCGTAGCTCCATGGATTACCTGCTGGACCAATTAAAGCTCAAAGAGAATCAGTTGACTAAAAGTAAACGGCGCTAAAAATATGTTAGTCCTTAGGTCCAGTATTTTTTTCCTTTTGTGTACTCGGCGTTACGATGATAGAGCTGTGGTCTTTTCAGCCTGTTTCAACAGTATCTTCTGAAGTACAAAACACTTATTGTTGGTGTCCGCTAGAGACTATTACATGTTTCTAAATGTTTGCTCACACCGATATTTGGTATAGCACCTAAGTTTGGCGATGAACCCGTATGGATTTCACCAAAAGTTCGTAGAGATGCCAGCGTTGTCAGGTCGTTTATAAGGCGTTTAAATCTGAGTGAATTCAGTCCTCAAAAAGATGCTTGCTGAAGCTGATGTCAATGTAGCCTCGGATGTAAGATAAGGGATATTTTACAAGGCACCTGTCTCTCCTGAAGTACAGCAGTTGTTCATTTATGAAGCAACTTGTGTGCGGCTGTTGTAAGAATAAAGCAGCATCGCTCTATGAGCATTGATCTAGTCATTCTAAGGGATCTAAGCTACTCTTGATTTCTGAATCTCAGTTTCCAAAAATATAAGCCACCGTCTCTAGTCAATTTCGTATACACTTTAAAACTCGATTGCAAAGCTCGTCTACTTTGCTAGTTGCTATGATTAATTCAAAGCGGTGACATAATATTCAGCGTGGATATTCGCGGAAAACTTCCTTAAATGCCAATTGAGGAAGAATTTAACTGTGATATATACATATCTCACTTAATTCTACTGAAAGCGTACACTTTTCCCCAGATATATAATATTTGCAGTTTTTCTAATTCCCAAGTCTGGGTTGTTGACGCAGTCGATCTTGTAATTCATCTAAATACCTCGAGAGAGAGAGAGAGAGAGAGCCATACAATCTATTTTTTTATATTTACTAGTTAATACGGTATCTAGAGGCTTCTTTTAGAACCGGCTTCTTCGGTTCTAGAAGTGTAAAGATATGAGTTCCTGGCAAAGGTTATCGCACCTACTGTCTCTGCTCATCTTTTTTTTCGAAATGCTCTTGTTTTTCAAGCGTCAACGGAATCTGTTCAATAGAACAGTAATCCGAAATCGATTTCATTCGATAGCTTGCCTCAAAAAGAACTATTACGGCCTTTTCTTTCTATAGTTGATACCTTTCGACTTGATTTGTTTTCTTTTAGCCTCAATTTGACCTTTGTTGGTAGATATACTTTATATTATCACGCTTCTTTTTGTAATTTCCCAGTCAAATACGAGATAAATAAGAAACGCCTAGTTAGTATGTAGATACTGTATTTGTATGTAGATACATGCTTTGGCCCCTGCATTTCTTGATCTGCAACGTAGCACGCACAAATATATCTGCATTTGATTATTATTCTCGGTGTTGTTCTTGTTTTGTTAATATAGGAATACACATAAACCCCAAGAATGATTCAAGCACTGATGTTGCTTGTGGAGCCTTTAAAGGCATTCGATAATATATCTTTATTTTTTCTTGAAACCTCTGATGGCAGTCCAACTGAAAAATGCATTATGAATAAATAGAAGAAATATCATATAGTGTCGTATACGGACATCTTTCATCTTTGCATTGAAGCATGTAGGTATTCTGGTCCGCTAATTCGCCAAAATTTCCCTCAGTAGCACCATTAGCAAACTGGTGCCTATTATGGGATCTCCGATAGTTTTTAAGCCCATTGCTGTGCTTTTTTAATTTTAGCTCCCCGCATTTTCACGCCTACACAAGTTACTTTACACTGTACACGATATAGGAAAAAGTCGTTGCCAGCTTTCATCTGAGGAAACTTCCTCCACTTTGATTATACATCAATTCAGACGGATCATTCGAATATTAAATCTACTGGAGTAGAATATAAAAATGAAAGCGACTGCGTGCAATGGTATACACATCGCGACCATTAGCAAATACGTTTTGTGGCAGATTTTATTTATATATGTATTAATTCTACCTGCGGTTTATTCGTAACTTTTTATTCTTGTTGTGTCAAGAATTTCTCTTTCTGTATATATACCCTCCCCCTCTTTTTCTAACCATGTGTGAAGCGGTGTTTTACGCGACTCGCCTTTAAGCCGCTAGTGTTTGCTTGCCATTAACATTTTTTCTTTCTGTTTCTCTAGCCCTTTCCCTCCCGGGGCGGATCTACTCGGCAGGATGCCGACAATCATAACGGGGGTGTGCGACGGAGTACATCCAACTTACAGTTAACGGAAACGCCGTTTTTGTCGTTTCAACCCGACTCAATTTGCAGCAGCAGCAGAAAGTGACTTTTCCCATTCTGCCATTAGCCAGAGTTTTTCGTTTGCTTTCCTCTAGCTCGCCACCCCTGCACGGTTCGAACTCTGCACAGGCTTCGTGCTCATTTTATGTTTTGCGTCTCACTACTCTACTATTTTTTCGTTCCAAGAAGCCCGTTACGTCTCTAACGTCGCCAATGTTCTTGCGGCTTGGATAGGCTTTTCTGTTGTTGTAGCACCCTTTAACCTCCCTGTCTCTCTCAATGTTGAAATGAAAACGGAAGGGACAAAAGGAAAAAGAGGATGAAGAGCACAAGATGCAGAGAGTAGGCGGGCCAGCAATGGCGCGGTTTTCACACCATTCGAGCACAAAACGAAAAAAAGATATCTTCCTCTATCAGCGCTAGAGGTTTAAATGAGACAACGCTTCTGGAAACCACAGCAGCAGTGACATCGGTGCCACCAAATTCCTGAAATGACTTGGTCGCCTTGTTGCTGAGGGTGGAACTAAAATAACTTAAATTGGTCAAACTTTGAATGTTTAACGTTCGAACTAGATATAGAAAAAAAATTACTGGGAACAGACTTGTGAATGACTTTTTCGAGCTAAATAATGACAGTAAACTGGCTCCCGCCTCAAAATATTTAAAGAATTTAACACGGCCAATGTTAGTATTACAAGTTTTTTCTATCATAAGTGAGCAAGTTATCTGAACTCATTCATTTTACAGCCATAACATCAACAAGTTGCCCACATTGGAAATGTAATAGGAGTGAGTTTTACTGGATTTATCTAGAGTTTATCCAACGGTATTATGAAACGGTATGCCAATCATACAATCAACCATTAGCCTTGATAAGAACACCATCTGCTCTATTTTTATTTCCTTATTTTCCCTTTATTTTTTTTTATTTCCCTTATTATTATTACTATTATATGGTGATAATTTTTGCCAATGTTAGGATTTAAATCGATATTGTAGCATGCTTATTGGTTATGGCTACTGTGGTGACACACTCAAAGAGATGCGCGTTAGCCACCTAGACCATGCCCCTCTGCGATATTACTTTCGGTCTGAAGTTTCCTTTTCACCATATCTGTCTCGCCTGTTTGTTTGAAGAATCGTGCATTTCTAGCCGGCGAATGTTCTTGCTTTGTATTTTTTTTGTTCTTAAGAGTGGTTTGTATATATCTGCATGGCCGTTCATATAGCTTAGGATGCAATCGAAAGCCGCCCCATGACGGTCCCAGTTGCTGCGTGAAAGGCTGCAAGCCGTACCTGCAACTTTCTAGACAGCAGTGTCGTTTCGAGATTCGCGGTTTAATGCGTTGTTGCCTAAGGTCGGCACTCCACGTTATGATAGCCAACTTCGCGCCGATCTTTGTTACATCGCACGAGCGTCACTAACTGAAACATAAGCTGACAATCCTTGTCTGTTACGAAATTGATAATGGAAGAATTTGATACGATTTTATTCACTCTCGCAATCCTAGATCTTTCTAATAGTGCCGAAAAGCCAATCAGATCATTTCGAAACAATGCCTAGGTGCTTTCCGAGATCGATTCGACGGACTATATTTTGATAACAACAGTAGCAGCAGCAGTCATTAGGGTTTCATTTTGAGTACGCCTTTAACAGTAACGGTTATCTAGATATTTTATCTTTTTCGTTATTCAAGTAAGAAAGGTTACGAATAACGACAGTCTACTGACGTGAGTCTTGAAGTAAGCATGGCCATATTAATCTACAACGAACTACGA